AGGGTGGCTATATTGAAAACTATTAAGTGATTCTAAATCAGTTAACTGTCCTTTTTGTTGTGTGTAAAAAAATTTCTTGATTTTCACATTTTTGCTGAGGTTATAGGCATATTGTGATGGGACACAACTTTCTTAACACCCTGTATCTACTTTACTGCTGAGCGCATTCGGAATCTGTCTCATTTGCTCTGCCTACGCGAGAATCTTCAGCCTCGGTACACGGTACTTGAGAGGGATCGACATCATGATGACTTTTTCTGAGCCTGAACGGGCGCTAATATTGATTAATCTTTGCAGGTTGCTATATATTTAATATGTAGATATTTGGTACAAAAGTAGTTGACTAGATAATTTCACGAAATTTTTAAAGATTCATCTTCTTAGGGGATATTTTTCGAGTGAGATGCAACTTAGATAAATATTTTTGCTCCATCGAGATGGGCTACTGCAGAAATCTGGAACTTGTTGAGCATGCAGTACCCTAGATATTTATAGATATTCAGGAAAAGAGTGTTGTACAATCCTGTTCTACTCTTCTTCGACGATTCTTAACCGACGATTCTAGAAGAGAGTTGTGACATCAGTTGTGATCAGTTGCGATTATCATTAGGAAGAACATGTTGAAGTGACAGAGCGAAGATTGCCAGGACTTCCGGCGAAATGTAGATAAACGACTCTCTCAGCTCAGGTTCTACGCTTCCCAAGAAAACAAGATTCGCTCTGGGTAGCCCTCTACACTTGATAGTCAGAGCGCTCTACTTCGTTCAAGACGCGTGCTAAAAAGTCATTTTCCAGGTTTCGGTCACATGTATTTTCTTGGAATCCTGAGCTTAACCCAGTAGTGTAGAGAGAGTCTCATTTTTCGGAGGGTCAATCAAGTCCAATTAGGGCCCAATAAACCTCATGTAAGCTTGGGGAAAGGGGGTGAGAGCCACGACAACCGCCCTTCCCACGCTGCGTCACTGGCCTACCCTGCAGCATGCATCATGAGCCGCCACTGCCACGAGGTAAGATGTGTGTCCGGAATTTAAAAAGATGAGCCTAATAGTAAATGAATTCGATCATTGAATGGAATCAACACAAGATTGGTGCTGATAGAGTGCGGGTGTATGTTCACCGTTCATTTTCTAACAAACGCATGAAATAGATAACACACGAAAAAAAAAACTAAACGTATACCGCGGACTAGTATGAGCTCGAAAATCATGTTTGTAGTGGATGTTTCAGGAGACGAGCCGTTTTGGAGATGCTTGAGAGAGACGGAAAATAGCCTGACCTCCTGGGAGAGGTGAAATTGAGGATGGATGAGTGAGTATGAAACTGAAATGGAGGCACACAACTTCAACATATATATTCCACCGGTCAAGGTGGAATATACTAGGTTGAGGAAAAAACCTAGTATATGCTGAAGTTGTGATTTTCTGAAAGTGATTTTCCGTCGAGCATGTCATTGTCAAGATGTAGATGGAGAAGGACTGTGTCTGATGGAAAGAGAGGGACATGATAGAGGCATTATCCTTTACGTACGTCTATCTTACTTAAATATGGTCAAAAAGCCCAAAAAAAAAGTATACCACTGGCAAAGGCAGCCACTAGACTTCAAAACTTGTCTGGGCAGAATTTTTCGAATGCTTAAAAGTTTTAGAGATAAAGGAGGGAGAAGCGAGGCAACCCTCCACGGCCCATTGTTGAGTATGGGAGCACGTGGCATTGTTTCCCGAATTCAACAGTACCCCGTTCATGGCGCTAACGTCGTCTGCTTCTGTGTGGAACTTCGACTCCGTATCCTTGAGTGTTCTCAATCCAACTTGAGTTTGGGAAAGGGAGGGGAACGGATGCATAGGGTGGCGGAATGAATATGAGCCCCAGCAAGTCTGGAAAACGGCAGAGCTTAGCTCCACTTCCCCTTCTTTTGAGGGTATTAGGCAGGTGGTAGGCGCGAGAAGAGGGGGAGTGAAGTGCGTGAATAAGCGATGCGACGAGGAGAGAATGTTTGAGGTAACAGATGCTCGTGCATCATGCAGCGGAAAATGCATGAATGGAAAATAATATAGGGTGGGCCACGAATCATGCTACAATTTGAGATGCAGATATAATAATTTGTCACATTAACTCCAATTCTTTTATCTTTGAAGGTTGAAAGCTATTAATTGGAATTTTAATTATCATTGATATCTGGGATTTGCTGGAAAGAACTAAAACTAAAATTTTGAAGCTTCATTTCAAATATGGTTCCATTACATCTGCTCAACATGAATTCAAGAGAGAATTGCACCGTAGAGTTGCACATAGCTGTCGAACATTAATGCGACTCGTTGAGAAGATTCACACAATAGGAAATATAGGAAGAAAACCTCATCATCGTCAGCCTCCAATAAGAACGCCAGAAAGTATTGCAGCAATAAGCGTTACAGTGCAACGAAGCCCTAAAAAATCAACAAGAAAATTGTCAGCAGAGACAACCATTAGTCTTACAAGTGTTAAGAGAATCTTGCACCAGGACCAATTCCCTTTCTTGCCAGATCGCCTGGTTTGACCGCACCCGATTTCTTTTCGTGGGGCTATTGTACAGCTCATGTATGCAAAGCAACTCTAAACAATCCAGAAGAGATGAAAGAAAGAATCGGACATGTATTTAGTGGAATTAGCAGAAAAACACCAACTGCCACAATGAACAATATTCTGGCGCGACACAGACGCTGTGTTCAGGTTAATGGTGCACATCTGAAGCAGGTCATTCTCCGTAAATTACTTCACAATATCTCTAAGCAAATGGCACTAAATGAATCTCCAAATTGTATTTTACTTTTGTGAACAATTTGAGTCTTACAGCTACAACGTATTTAATTTTATTATAAAATCAATTTGTAGCATACTTGGTGGCCCACCCTGTATTTATTTTCCTATGTACACATACTGAAATGCTCCTCCTTAAAAGAAAATGTTTCCGTATACTATTAATTCCCAGTAAAGGAGAGAAAAATGGCTCTATATTTCTGACATGACGGAAAATTTCGAACTTGGGTTCAGTAAAATTCCAAAGGTTCTGAGGGGAGTGGACAGATTCGTCTGAAAATGGACCTGAAGCTGCTCAAGAGGCTTCTCCACAATTCTTTCAGCTGAATTTAGAATTTCTCTCTCGTTCTCGAGAAATGACCATATATGTGAGGTACCACCAAAAATAGGGAGATTTTGAGGCATAACCGAGAACTTCCTAGGAAACGGTTCGTTGAATCATCTCGCCCTTTGACACGAAGACGAATGGAGACGGTCTCTAAAAACTGGAGCATGCTTTTCCCGGTGCAATTTTTCCTTGGAGAACGAGCGAGGGAAGAAACGAATTCGTAAAACGCGAATTTTCACAAATGACGACACGGCATTTTTGGAAGCAGCTAGATGAGCACATTCATCATCATTATTTAATATGTTCTGGGGCGACGAGAAGGGGGCAGATTTAACGTGTATATGTTACGTGAGGAACTGAAGGTAGGGAGGTTGGATGGACGAGAGTGGACGAAAGAAAGCCGGGAGACGGCCGAGAATTGAACCCGGGCCTCCTGATTGCCGGTCAGGTGTGCTACCATTACACCACCGAACCCAGGACATTCAGTCGTGCCTCTCAACACTGCCTTCATCACAGATTGATATCTCAGTAAGGAAATGCGATAAAATCATGAAACTTTCAGGGCTACTGGTTTCAGTGAGTTTCACAAACGGATTGATACTCTCACGGTAGGAGGACAAAGCAAGCGACCCCACTTGGGATGATTAACCCCTGACCTGTATCTACAGCTTCCGCCACTAGATGTGGCTAGCGAGCCGCGTGTCTATTGATATTGGAAATACAGGAAGTGAAAATTATAAGCATCATTTCAAGAGTAAAACTTCTGCAGTAGCACTTAATAAATTTAAGCTAGAAGAAAGGGATAAGTAGTTTTTCACATTCCAGTTCCTCGCTCGGAAGGGTCTCGGGGCATGACGAACGATCGCCTTACGGTTGTTAGCGCGAGGTCCCCGCGAGGACATACGGGAAGCGCGCCTAGGACGTCGCTTCACCAGGAGACAGTTGGTTTGGACTTCCTTCTACATTGTAAGAACTCGATATCCCCTGTGGTGCTTTTCTGTCTTGATCTCCAGTGTATTCCAGCATGGCGCCTGGCACACGGAGGCCTAAGAAGCAAACTATCAGTACATACCGGAATGAAATTTACATCCCCGAAATGCGAGATTCAGAGATCTCCACAACCGCGAGGAGATGGAGCTTCAAATTTGCTGGAGCGATTCTGTGCTGAGAGAGGAAGGAGCAAGCCAAGTTTCGTTCCCGTTGATTCTCCCAGAGAGGAATACGAGACGGTTGAATTTTGTCGCCGGAAGGGGTTGAAGAAGCCGTGAGACCGAAGACTAAATTCCTTCCCAAACTGTCGAGAATTTGCCGAGAACCTAATCTCCATGTGCGAAGAAGATGCAACTCTAATTGATTCGGTCGTGTGGAGCGAAAACTCGGTTTTTATATTAAACCGGCACAATTGTTTTTACTACAAGTTTCAATTAAGGAATTGATTTTTCAATTAGCCACATTTCCACATATGTATACATTTTGGTTCTCATATTGCGTACTAACGTGCATAATGGCATTGATTTTCTTGGTTTGCTCAAAATATATGAAGACAATAGGTAAATTGGTAAAACATTCCTCCTATCCGAGAGGAAATATTTCCGATCTCATTAATTTCTTCCCTAGACCTCCTTAGGTATGCAGACAATTGAGGTACATCAGGGTATGCAATTGTCGACTCCATCGTGTTTCAAGGAAATCTCATAGTGTGAAGCCACATGTCTTGCGTTTTCATGCCATCTGGCTATCTATACCGATTGAAATACTTTTGCAGTTGGATGCTGACAAACAACCTTCTTAAAATATTTATTGGCCATTATGAAGAATCACATTAGTACTCATATCGAATTGGGGAAAATGTGGCTCATTGTCCCACAAACAATATTATTTTGATTCTTAGGGATTCTTAAGTAGAGATTGATGACCATGACTTAATTTATTCCCTTCATGTGGGGTTCCATGCATTGAGAAGGTCTGAAGGGGAAATATTCCATGCGGTAAAAAATATTGTATTCTAGAGAAAAAAACCGCAAAAACCGAAAAAAAAACGAAAAAAAGCATCCAATGCCTGATGAGGCAACAGTCCAACTGTCTGTATACCATTCTCTCTATTGTACTGTGTTTATTTCCACAGCCTATCATCGGTTCGGTGGGAAGCCGCAGGCAGGGGGCATTTAGTGGGACAGAAGATCTCCAGCTAGGAATGCTCGCAGCCGTCTATACGTCTGATGAGGTATCCCGTCCTTGGTTGGGAGAGGTTCAGGCAATAGAAGATGGTGATACAGTGAAGATCCACTGGTATATGGGAGGCTATCCCAAATCGTGGAAGCCCATGTCAGGAACCAACAGCACGTCATCTGTTCATCGTGAATCCCTTCTATTACGGGGGTTTACACTCACTGAGAAAAGTCAGCGACTGACGAGTGAAACAGCTGCAGAACTGAAGCGGCTCTATCAAGAAACAGATGACCGGATGACGATCCAACAAGAGCGCATCTCAGAGGAAGAATAGATTTAAATTTCTCCTGGTCAGTTATGTGAAGTATTACATTTTCTCTTTTTTATAAGAATTTGTATTTTAGGAAACTTCTAAAGAAGCAAAACTACCGTTTTGTTCATAGAGATTGCTTCATTGAGATGCATTCTTGAATAAGTAGCTGTAATAAAAATAAGAATGCACGGGTGGCAAACTTCAAAGAAGCACTGTCAATGATTATATCTTTTTTCATGGATTCTGTTTTTCCTTCCTTCCAGGAAATATCTGCTTACGCACAAGGAAGGACAGTGAGAAGGCTCCCAAGGAGGATGGATTCTGTTAGCAATTTTCTTCAGGATGGAGATGAGCCTAATTCTTAGTCATGTATTAAACTCCCCTACCAAACCTAACTCAAGCATTGCATCATGGCTTTGCCTTTTCTAACCTCCAGGAATTCTGGCCCCTTCGGAGATCAGCAGAGGATGCATAAGGACTCTCTTCCAATGCTTCTCGGCAGGGATGCATTCACCATATCGCGCTGTCCCATGAACATGAAGAATAGCCTGTTCCAGGTCAGTTCTGTATGTCATGTAGGAGATGACTGAATGAATGCCTTTAAGTGCCATCTAAAATTAAGAAATGATGTATAATTCCTGTCTATCCCTCATCTGGCAGATAATGATTTCATGGAGATGGAAGGTGGAGCTTGCCTACACCCAGCTTTAATATTATTCCTGGAAAATGTGGAAGGTGGTGAACATCGTGCATCACATCTCATGTGAACGTGCAAGATGTCGAAGACTTATGGAACATTTTGGACTTGTTTCAAGATATTGCAGTGTGACTCATATACATTTTTTGTTCTTCATTCTGTATGCATCATATAGTATAATACCTTGCATTGAGTTTGAGTTTGTTGTGAAAATCCTGTTTCCAGCATGAAATGCTTTAATAAACCTCAGTATTGAGTACTTGATGATTTTAGTTGAAGTTCGGTGCTCCTCACTTTTCCAGTAAATAATGCTTTCAGGTTTCCCAAATTGTTAGTTTGAAAATTTCATTTTTTTCATGATCTCAGACAATAAATTGTTATATATGTGCTCTTAAAAGAATATATCTGTGTTTGTCTGAATTCCAACAAATGGAGTAGGAAGAACTCTGCCTATAAAATAGATCCATCATTCTGGAATAGTCTTACCGATGAAGAAAACAAGAGAGTAATCCCCAACATTCAAATATCGACCAAAGGGAGTACCTGCCATTTGGCACCTATTACATTTGGTCTGGAGCATGCGCACTGCCATGCTCCATATCGAAAGAAATAGATACCAAATGGGAGAGATTCCCATTGGTCTATTGGATTCTCGTCCCTATTATTAGAACAGGTTGGATTTTGGGTCAACTGAAAAAAAACCTTCAACATGGTCGCCCCCAAGCACATTCACACTGCCATTCTCAAGAACTGTAGTATCTATGGGATTAATGAGTAATTTCCCTTTTTTCCAAGCGGACATTTCTACAGAAGGCATGGAGATGGTATCCATGACAATTCACATGGACCAAAGCATGTTTTTGGAAGGAAGGTAGGACAGAAGCCTGAGTCGGCCAAATAAGAATCAAACAGGTACCATATGCCTAATTGAAATATTAAGACCTTAATTGAAACTTGTTCACGCGCAAAAAAACCTCATGTCGTCATTGAACACCATTTAAACGCCCCAGGAGTAACAGTTTGGGCAGGAATTTGGTCTAAGGGTGTCATTCTTCTTTCAAGGAAATGTCACTACATAAAGCTCTCTGGAGCTTCTCCAGACGAAGATTCCTCCATTCATAGATGAAAAAAAAAACAGATGGAGAATCGATTTACTTCATGCAAAACGGAGCTCCACCTCCTTTTGGCTGGATTGCCCGCGATTTTTTGGACGAAACATTCAAAGAAAAATGGATTGGCCGTCGAGGCCCAATCGAGTCGCCCGACTTCATTCCTTGCGATTTTGTCGCATGGCGAATGATAAAAGATATCGTCTATGCGGAATAATAATTCCTTGAGGACTTGAAAACAGCAATCGAGGCAGCTTTCAGCGGAATTTCAGCCGAGTTATGTTCCAGAGCGTGCCACAACGTGCTGAAAAGGCTTCAAGTTTGCATCGACCAAGACGACGGACATATTGAGCAGCTGAAATGAAGTTTTCTGCTGTATCATTCCAAATTCCAAATGGACTTAAAAAAAAAGGTCCTAGATCCATTGAACCTTTTTATTTCTATTCGAATTTAAACAATTTCAGTTACTTAGTGCCCACCCTGTATATTCTGGCACGAAGACTCTAACGAAGTTCCCTTTTCAAACTCTTCCTTTGGCTACCTACATTTTGTCATGAAAAAATTCGTCGTTTTGGTAAAAGAAGGTGATAGCTCTTCATGTTCTCTTTTCGTTGAAGAAAGTTTGGGCATAGAAATAACATTGACCTAAACGTCCGCGAGTGGACCGGGCAGTAGTCATATTTAATTGCAATGTGTATTAACAAATTTTCTACCCGATTCCCTTCTGAAAAATTCAGTATAATCATCCCCCGAAGTTACCTGGTAATTGGTTCCGAGACCGGCGACGTTTGTCGAAACGACGTAAGTCGAGACAGTACGGTGCTGACGCTTACTCGCCGTTGAGATACCAATGCATGGACGACGTAAGGGCAACGTAATGCAACGTAGGTACGAATTGTGCGCTCGGCTTAATGTATTGGGTCTGGGGGCAAACGACGTAAGTCGAGAAGACGCAAGTGGGGGGGATGACTGTATATGTAACCCATTCACATCCGCACGCATGAAGCCTCCTCCTTCCATCTAGCCTATTACCTAGAATGGCATAAGCCAAAAAGGCATGAAGCTAAGTCAGCATGATTCTCGATCCGATAGGCCGAAAGGTTCTAGGTGCCAGTAGATCGAGATTGGTGAAGGACTGGGCGTCTAACCGTCTGTCCGAGGGTTAGATAGGTGTGTCATGGCAATGGCCGGAAGATTGGATGGCAGGAGAGGACGAAAGAAAGCCAGGGGACGGCCGGGAATTGAACCCGGGCCTCCTGATTTTCCTGATTGCCGGTCAGGTGTGCTACCACTACACCACCGAACCCGGGACATTCAATCGTGCCTCTCAATGCCATCCTTATCATTACAGGTGCATGCTAAGTCCCCTCAGGGTACGATCTACAATTTCGAGCTTCATCTGCTGCATGCAATATAGGAGCTATTTGTTTCTCCTCCCGCTTCCTCCTCCCGCATCGCCAGCGTGGACTTTAAACCACGTACGCAACGTACTTTTTGGACTTTTGACGCAAAAAGTATCTCCTCCAGGTCCTAAGCTTTCGATTGACACCTCACTCATGAAAATCTGTTTATCCGTCTAGGAGGAGTTTCCAAGAATAGCAGATTGACTGACTGTCATAAGCCTCTTATCTATATGGGTTAGGGTAAACACAACCATAGAATGATGTTAATAAGAGTCACCGTGAATATACGGGTACTTTAAAAATTTATGGAATGTAAGGAGACTGATTTTTACCCACAATGAACGAAGTTTACATATATGGGGTGTACCAGAATCGAATGAACGTGAATCCTTCCGCCTAGCCCATCACCTAAAAAGGCATAGTCTGGTAGACCTCAGGCGCTGGCGAAGGTAGCAGAGGCCTCGGTCGGAGCGGCCCGGATACGAAACCCCCTATGTTAGTCAATTCTCGGGCCCCCTGTAAGAACTTTTGCCTCAAGAGTCTCCGCAAGTTACTCTTTGAAATGAGAAAGATCCTCAGAGATAGTATTTCCTCAATTCAGCAGCAATAAGATCGCATGTCATCTTTGCCAAACAGCAACAAAAAATTGACCCTGAAACTGCCAGAAGCAACTCGGTTGCCAACCAACGTCGATTTTATTGTCGGTTGGCAGTTCTAAGGTTAGGCTTCACCGCCTCTTCGTGCGAAACATTATTTTCTCCATCCAGATTTCTTAATTATAACGTGAATGAAATACGAAGTTGATAAGTGATGTTGACAAAACTTGCTGGTCGAGTGGTCCATCTTTGAAATTATTATTTTGAAAGGATGATGACTTTCTACTGAAAACCAGCGTCGATGAATTCCAAAATGTCTAGTCTATCCTGTTACCTGCTCCATTCACCTGAAGGCTGCAGGTTATCTAATCTACGACTCGATTCAGGTGGCTGTAAGGGGATAACGGCCTCGGTGAAGTCGGCTGCCGCATTCGCCACGATGAAGCATGACGACATTTTTTGGTTTGCTCGCCAATTCTCTGCGTGATGTAGAGAATGGGCGAGCTGACCAATATTTATTGAAATGTTCAAAATCCATCCTTGATTCAACGAAAAGTCATGCACCGTCTTTCTGATGGTAATAGCACCATTACAGTGCTTATCGGCGCTTGCGCCGGATGGATACTTTTTCACACCAATTATAATGGTAAATGTTCGAAGTTTACCAGATTAGAAATGCTAGATGGGCCTGGATTTTGAAAAGGATGCGTTTTGAATCGGACATTCATCGTCTAGATGTATGGTAGGACGTGCATTTTTCCAATACAAAAGAGACGTTTGCATTCCACACGTGGAGCAAAAGCGTTTGAAAAAGCCTGCATTTCTATACCAGGATGGACACTGGACCCACACTACCATTGAGCTGCGGAAACTCTGCAATAATGACGATACTAAATTGTCCGCTTTGCACATTCAAGACACATCCTCCAGCTGCTTCCTTGGCTTTTGCTGCCTACTGGACGCTTGGACAGGCGTCGCCCACGACACCAGATCCACGATTGCTCTCAAAGGTATCAGGTATACCAGAGGTGGACGGCGAATCTCTGCCGATGATATCCGAATGAATGGACACCCATGTAGGAAGTGGAGTTGGCGGAGGATCACCATCCGTTAATGATCACTCACTCATTGATGTGACTGAAGATGCTAGGCCAACAAAAAGGCTAATGCTTGGAGGGGCCTGTTATGTCTAATACAAATATAAGAAGTTCTCGCTCGATCCACTCGGATGGTCGGCGTCAGAAATTCAGTTGGCGTGAAGGTACAGTTTCCCTTAGGGCACGATTGGCTTCATGGAACGGTGCATGTGAAGATATTTGGTTGGGATTTCCTTGCCCTAAAGCGCATACAGTAATTTGAAAGGCGACCCTATATTCCTAGTAACCGATTCCTTGCTTAAAGAAGTACGTAGATCGTCGCTTGTCAGGCTCACTTATCGTCATGATACTCCTACTCGGAGTTGGTAGTAGGCATTAAATATTCCCACAATAACTTGGGAAAAGGTAAAATTCATTTGGAATCCACATGAGGAGTACAACAGAACAAAGGAACTCTAGGACGCAAATCTCCAATGCCTTCTCCTCCTACCTTTCTACATCGTCATCTGTTTCTGCATCATTTTCGATATCAACCAAGTTTTCATGGGACGGTGATGGTAGTATTGGCAGCCAGTAATTCATATTTTATTATCGTCTTTTTCTTATCCCGCTAAACTCTACTTGATAGTAGTGTACAACAAAGAGTAGTCGCTTAACGAACTGTATTTAGTAGCTGCACGAACTGTGTTCTCCACCTCATAGCGTACTAATCATCGTCTATAGCACAGCTATATTGATCTGAAGCCATCAGAGCTAAGGTTTTGCAACCAAAATAGAATTAGAGAATTTGTTCCGATTTCCATGTTCTGAGGTTGGAGTTCCATTTGAATGCGTCATCTGCCTCACCGAGCACGCTACACTACGTGCGATAAGATAGCCGGTAGGAGGGAGAAGAATAACGATACTTCTCGGTCCCATCCACCAAATCGT